TAATACATTATTTGTCCTTCTGTGATTGACTTATTTCACTCAGCATAATGTCCTCCAAGTTCATCCACGTTATGTGGTGTTTTGCAGATTCTACATTATTCTTCAGCATTGCATAGTATTCCATTGTGTGTATGTACCATAGTTTGGTTATCCATTCCTCAGTTGATGGACATCTAGGTTGTTTCCATGTTTTCGCTGTTGTAAATAGTGCTGCGATGAACATGGGCGTGCATATATCTGTTCTTGTCATGGGCCACTGGTATTTCAAGTATCAGCAGGGTCACCCATGGTGGACTGGTTTCAGCAGAGCTTCCAGGCCAAGACCAGGCCTGGATATCTACTTCTGAAAATTAGCCAATGAAAGCCTTATGGATCACAATGGAATAATGTCGAGTATAATGCTACAAGATGAACTCCCAAAGTTAGAAGGCATTCAAAATACATAGTGGGCACAACAACAGTCTGAAGCATCTCAACGATCTTCCAGATGGTATGGGACCTGTAACACCTCGTTGTGTGGTACAGGGGCCGTCACGTGAGTCACTGCCAACTCAGTGGGAACTAACACCAGTCATACTCAGAGACTTCGATCCAGGAAGCTGAAAGCCACTTTAGGCAACATCCTATGTTTTGCTACTTTCAACAATCAGATTTAAAAAATTAAGATTTCAGTTATTTAATTTAAGGAAGAGAAGGCTTTAAGGAACAAGAATGATGAAGAAATACAGTCAAACTAAAGGGACACTTAAAAAAAAAAAAAAATTCCAAGGACCTTAAACTCCCATTCATGCTCTCCCCTAAATAAAAATGCCTTCATTTTAAAGCCACAAATAACAAACTAAAACTTCCACGACTAATATTTCAGATAGTTACCTCCACAGAAGTACATCCACACAGAGTGGATTTTTCAGTCAGACTACCAACATTCATAAGGAAAGTGACCAGTAACCAACACTCATAAACAAAGTAACATTTTGTGTTAAATGTGGTAAACCAAAACAATTAAAAATCTATTTCTGCCTATGCTAACACAAAAATTCAGCAAAATTCTACCTAGAACATTGTTTGTTCCTTCAAATGCTAGAGTGTATATTAAATCTAGGTACCTGGATATAGAAAAGCAAATAATAAAAGTTCTTATCACAAATAGCTTGATTTTCTAACTGCCTAGTGAGTCCTACACTGAAGGTCAGTACTCAGGGTTCTACTGATGCAGGAACCCAACAATGTTTAAACTGCAGGGTCTTGGTTTCAAGCTTCTTGTTGCCAGGAATTGGAAATTTGGGGCAAAGTGAGGAAGAGGCCATGCAAACATAGCGAGAGACTCCTTTTCCGTTTTCTCAGCACAGGCCCCCATAAGCAACTACCTCCTTCTTTGAAGGGTCCATTTGCTATAGCTAAAAGATTCCCTAGTTAATTCAGGAAACCCACCCAGTCACGTAACCAAGAGACAAATCACATCTAACATCACATCAGTCTGCTGCCACCACAAATTTACTTGCAATTTACTTCAAGATGTATTTTAAATATTAGCACAATTTCTAGACTTATACATTTAACAAGAGACTCTCGGTAGGCTAAGTGTACAGCTAAACACTGTATCACAATAAGCTAAAAGTTAAAAACTGTATGAAACAGTGCCTCTGTTTTATTAAAGAAAAACCATGATTACTGGTACTACTCAATGATTAACAAATGCTCTCAGGACTAAATTATGTTACATCGGGAGGTAAAAGTTACCTTTTAATCTTATTCTCAAAATTAATCTTAGTTATCAAAAATAGTAGAGCAGCTCAAGTAGGCAAAGCCAATTACTATAATGAAATGTGCAAAAACCTGGAGTCTGAAAACCAAAAAGGAAGAACACGCTCAGCATTTCTCAAACTGAAAGAAATGAAGAAAAAATTTA